GGAACCCTTTGTTAGCTTTGTGCATTTTTTTGAACGCACATTTAATAAGCAGATGTGTACCAAATAAACAGCATTTATTTTATAACAGTTAAATCTTTTTTAAAAATTTCCATTTGTTGAAAAAATATTCCATGCTCATGGGTTGTAAGAGTCAATATTAGCCGGGCTCGGTGGCTCAGCCTGTAATCCCACGGTTTGGGAGGCTGAGGTGAGTGGACTGCCTGAGCCCGCGGGTTCGAGACCTGCCTGGGCAACTTGGTGAGACCTCATCTCTACAATAAATCAAAAAATTAGCTGGACATGACAGCGCACACCTGTAGTTCCAGCTACTTGGAAGGCTGAGGCAGAAGGATCGCCGGAGCCCAGCAGGTCGAGGCTGCAGTGGCCGGGAGTGACAGAGTGAGATTCTCACTCAAAAAAAAAAAAAAAAAAAAAAGATCAAAACAGGCGGGGCTCAGTGGCTCAGCCTGTAATACCACGCCTTTGGGAGGCTGAGGTGAGTGGATTGCCTGAGCCCGCAGGTTCGAGACCCACCTGGGCAGCAAGACCTCATCTCTACAATAAATCAAAAAATCAGCCGGGCGTGGTAGCACAAGCTTGCAATTCCGGCTACTTGGAAGGCTGAGGCAGAAGGATCACCAGAGCCCAGCAGGTCGAGGCTGCGGTGGCCGGGAGCGGCCACCGCACTCCATTCTGGACGACAGAGTGAGACTCCAACTCAAAAAAAAAGAACAATGCATACCAGACTGGGAGCCTGTACCCATCCCCTACCACCAGCACAGCACAGACTGCAATCCCTCCAAGAAGGCAAGCTGATGAGGTAAACCACAGGATCACCCACATTTGCTGCCTAGAGGCACTGACCCTGTGGCAAGGAGGAGACCCCCAGCAGAACACAGTCATCTTACTGATTTGAGAAGACAGAGACTGGAATTCAAGAAGAGGCTGTTGAAATTTACAGAACAGAGTACTGGAAATGTGGGAGCTACACAGAGAGAAAGTTCCAGAAACCTGCACAGAGGTCCTTTGGGGTCTTTGACTGAATGCTAAGTGGACATGTGGAGGTGAGACTCCAAGAGCTAGGCACAGTATCACTACTGAACAAGGAACAACTACTAGAGGGCTGAAAACCATACAATGCCCACAATCACACAGACCTGGGAGATACTGACATTTCAACCACCCCT